ATCATGTCATGTCTCGTCGCGCCCGCTCTCAAACGTCGCGCCACTCAGCTCGCGCAACTCGCACTCGCGCACTCGCCCAACTGCACCCTCGCCCCGCCTCTTGGCGCGAGATGCTGCTCTCAGGCCGTGCATCGTGTCCCGCGCGTCGGCCAGTTTCTCGAAGAGCGGATCCTCCCATCCCCTCTACCCTTTGTCGTGCTTGCGGCTGCTTGCGCTGCCGCGTGCTGTGCTGAGCTCCCAGCTCCCCCTTTCCCCCTGCCCTCGTGTCCCCGACCTTTCTTCTTTCCCTCCTACCCTCTCCACATCCTGCCGTGCCCCTTTCATTCCTCCCGCAACTTGCCTCCCTTCCTCCCCCCCGCACTCTCCCGCAGGAACTGCCCTGGGCACCGCGGCTGCCGCGGCGCCGCGGGCGCCGCCCCAGGGGCCCCGGGGAGGGCGTCGAACGCAGCCGCCTCCACTCTCCGGAGATCCGACGGCGGAGGAGGGCCCCGACAGTGACATAAACTTAGAGCGACGAGCGGATGAGCATGCAGCATGCCAAAGGCCGAGGCGGGAGAGGGCGCGGCGAGGGTCGAACAGAGCGGGGGAGATGAGCACAGTCGGAGGCTGAGCGAGAGAGGGAAGGAGGTCGAGAGAGAGGGAGAGAGAGAGAGGGAAAGAGAGAGACAGAAAGAGGGATGAAGGAGAGTTAGGAGTCATGACGGAGGGTGGGGAGATAGAGAGACAGAGAAAGAGACGGGGGGGGAGGGAGGAGGAGTGAGAAAGAGAAACAGAGAGAAAGAGGGAGAGAAAGAGGAGGCGAGGAGGGTGGATGGGGGGATGAACAGGGGAAGGATGGAGGGAGGGAGGGGGTAAACACCCTACACCCCCAGGCCCCTCCAGGTCCGCCATTGCCGATGTGGCCCATGGCGGGGGGGCGCGGCGGCAGGGCGCCCAGGGCCGCAATGATTAGGACGACGAGGGGAGGAGAAGGTGCGGAGGGAATGTCACAATGTCCGCGGGGCGCGGGGGAGCAGGGGGGCAGAAAGAGGCAGCAGAGGAACCGCGAGTGCACGATGGACCCGCTGACCCACGAGTCTGTGAGCTTCGGGCTTCCTTCTCGCAGACCACAACAGGTTTCACCTGAATACCCTCCTGGGACTGTAATGAATTCGTGCAAATCTGAAATGATTTTTTTCATATTTCAGAATTAGTTCAGAATTTTCTCGGAGGCGCTCTGTCTTTCAGGGGGGGAGGGAGATCCTGGGCTTTGAGTGGATCCGAAAGACTCAACCTATTGGATGGTCGTCGTGGGAGGCCTCGCGGGGGCCTCTTGTGTTTTTTGTTGGGAGCCTTTTGGGGCCTCTTTTGGGCATCTGAGAGGCCTCTGGGGGGTTTCTCGAGGCCTCCTAGGTGCCTCTTGGGGCCTCGTTGCGCCTCCTGGGCGCCTCCTGGGACCTCCTTGAGGCCTCTTGGGGCGAGGGTGGCTCGGATTGTCAGTTTGTGTTTCTGTGTTGGGGGCCGTCATGGAGCCGTCTTGGGCCGTTCTGAACGCCTCTTGGGCCGTTTTGGGGCCTTCGGCAGTTTTGGGCGCCCCTGGGAATCATCTACGGCCGTCTTGGGGCGGCTCTTGGGGCCTAGGGCCATCTGGGAGCGTCAGGACGACGAAAAGGCGAGAACGCCCAAAGTTTTCAAAAACCGCACGAAGGAACATTATTGATCTTGGCATCTTGTGACCCTCCTGGGAAGTCTCTTGGAGGCCTTGTTGGGCCGCTCGGAGGCCTCCTGGGCCGTCTGGTCTTGGGGGCCTTTTGGGGGCCTGTAGGCCCCCCCTTCAGGAGGGAGCAAAAACACAGACGCAATGAATCGTCGATTCCGGAGAAAATATGCGAAAGTATGGGAAGTGTGGCTGGGGGGGAGAACAAAACCCAGAACATATGGGGACATGTGGGGAATCTTTTTATTTGTCTCTATTAACTTGTGTGCCCTTTTGCCCCTTCAGTCTTGAGGCCCTCCACGGGCCCGAACTATTTCTGCGACGGCACTGCCGGAGCCCCGGGGAGCACGCGGGAGAAGCCCCAGGGTGCACGCGGCCAGCCCCGGGAGATTAGTAAGCGTTGGGGTCCGGAGCCCCCCAGAGATTCCACGGGAGGAGGAGGAGGAGGAGGAGGAGGAGGAGGAGGAGGAGGAGGAGGAGGAGGAGGAGGAGGCTGGAGGAGGCTGGAGGAGGAGGAGGTTTGAGGCTTAGAGGATTGGGCCCAGGACCTGAGGACACGCCCACTCCGTGCCCAGCGGCACGGTGGCGGATGTTACTCCTTCTCCCGCCCATGCTTGTTGTTCCTGCTGTTTGTTCCTCATCCTGCCCCTCCCACGTCTCCCCATCCTCTTGCGCCATGCCCTCCTCCTCCTCTCCCTCCTCTCCCTTCTCCTCTGCCACCTCTTCCTCCTCCTACCCCGTCCTGCTCCTCCTCCTCCTCCCTCCTCCTCCTCCTCCTCCTCCTCCTCCCTCCTCCCCCTCCCCCTCCTCCTCCTCCTCCTCCTCCTCCTCCTCCTCCTCCTCCTCCTCCTCCTCCTCCTCCTCCTCCTCCTCCTCCTCCTCCTCCTCCTCCTCTCCCTCCTCCCTCGTCCAGGGCCTGTGGTTTGCTCCCGTTCCCGCTCCCGCCTCGTGTTTCTTCCGCTCCGCCTGCGCCCCGCTCCCGCCTCCTGCGCTCTTCCCCTGCGCCCCCTCCGCCGACCGCCGTGCGCCTTCGGCCACGTCGGGACGCAGTCTCAACACAGTCGACACAGCGAGGGGGAACAGGAGGGGGAGGAGGGGGAGGAGGGGGAGGGGGAGGGGGGGGAGGAGGAGGGGGAGGAGGGGGAAGGGGGAGGAGGAGGTGTAGCAACGACGAGGTCTCGCTTGTTGTTGGACTGTGTGTTGGGCCTATGTCTGGCTTCTTCCGTTTTTCATCGAGAACCCGGCTGCACGAGGACATGCCCGACCCAACCTTTGGTGTTCGATGATGGACCCCTTGATGATTGCAGCCGTCCAGCTTCCGCGGAAAAGCCCGTTGGAAGCACCCAAGACCACATGACATCGCCGAAGACCGTCAGGAAGCCGTCCGAATGCCTCCGAAGGCCGCCGAGAACCGCCCGAGGACCGCCGAACGCCGCCGAAGACGGCCCAAGAGCGATGAGCAACAGGGGGAGGAGGAGGAGGAGGAGGAGGAGGAGGAGGAGGAGGAGGAGGAGCAGGAGCAGGAGCAGGAGCAGGAGCAGGAGCAGGAGGAGGAGGAGGAGGAGGAGGAGGGTCCTTGGTCAAACACGTGACCGAACCATGCTCGCCCGTGCCTCTCCTCCAGCTCATCCTCCTTCGCCTGTCTCCCGAGTTCAAAGCTGGCAGGCCCCGCACTGCCAGTTGCCTGCACTATGCGGTGGGCCCGTGGAGGTCCACAGAAAGCCTGTTTCCCGAGTCGGCGCTTACTCTGACGGGCTTCTCAGGGATATTTTGAGGATTCGGAGGCAGCGTTTGGCCAACGTCCGAACGGCGGCTGGAGTCCCAGGTTTGGGGGGTCCTCGTCCAAGTTTCCCGCCACAGGGCGGTTTGGTGCGCGGGTGCCCACACGGGAGGACCCATATTTGTAGCATGAATATGAATATACAGATATATGTGTGTATATATATATATACATATATATATATATATAATATATATATATATATATATATATATATATATATAGATATAGATATCGGAGGTTGGGGGGTGAGATCGAAGTGGAACGGAGAGCCCCCCTACCGGGAAATCGATTTCGGTTTCGTGTTCGTGCGTGCCGTGCGTGCGGGCGAGGCGAAGCTGCGTGGGCGGGCGAGAGGAAAGTCTCCTGTGGCTGAGGCGCGGCCGGACCAAATGATTCTCCACCAGGGCGCGGGGCCGCGCGGTGTCCCGCCGGTGTCCCGGTGGTGTCCTCTGTGGCTGAGGCGCGGCCGCACCAAATGATTCTCCACCGGGGCGCGGGGCCGCGCGGTGTCCCGCCGGTGTCCCGGTGGTGTCCCGTCGGTGTCCCGTCGGTGTCCCGATGATGATGTTGATGATGATATGATGATGATGATGGTGATGATGATGATGATGATGATGATGATGTTGATGATGGCGATGATGATGATGATGATGATGATGATGATGATGATGATGATGATGATGATGATGATGATGATGATGATGATGATGATGATGATGATGATGATGATGATGATGATGATGATGATGATGATGATGATGATGATGATGATGATGATGATGACGACGTCGATTGTGAGATCGATTGTGATCGGAGGTTGGGGGGTGAGATCGAAGTGGAACGGAGAGCCCCCCTACCGGGAAATCGATTTCGGTTTCGTGTTCGTGCGTGCCGTGCTTGCGGGCGAGGCCCCGTGCACCCACCAGTACAGGCTAGGCTTTGCCAGCCGCTCTCTCCGAGCGCGCCCCGTTCCTTCGGGCGGCCGCGCGGGCTCGCCGCCGCGGCTGGAAGCGAATCGAAAAACTGGTGCGTCTGGGCCCCTGGAGTTGGTCCGTCTACATAAAAAGGGATACGCCGACAGGACGCCGCCGCCGTCGCTGTCGCAGAAGTTCTCATCAATTGGATTTGCACCATGTGCAACCCGACAAAGGGAGGGAGAGGAGCCTCAGCAGGTCTCTGAGAAAAAAATCTCCACTGGCATCGTCAGGAGAACAATCACCACTGTTGCCGATTGCTCGGCCCCTCCACCCCCCCCAACCTCCTTATCACCCGCAGGGTGGTCGTATAGGTATATGTATATACACACATAGATGCAAATACATGTATACATGTGTACACAGGGAGTGGTCGAACGAGAGAGGGAGCGAGAGAGAACGATACGAATGTGGATCTGTCAGCCAGCGTGGACCCAAAGCAGCGTGTTTCTGTCGTCGTCGTCCTTGTCCTCCTCCTCATCTGATCTTCTCCTTGTCCTTGTCCTCCTCCTCCTCCGCTCATGCTGTCCGCGCGCGCGCGGAACAGGTGCACCTTCGGGACCGCCCCGAGGCGGAGCCCCGCGAGGCCCCGGAAGGCCCCAGGAGCGACCTCTCTTCTCGGCCGGCCGGACCCCGGGCCTCCGCGAGGTTGCTCCTCCTCCGCTCACGCAGTGGCGAAGCGTCCTGGCTCGCCTCTACAGTGGGGGCCCGCCCATGCCAAGAGACACCCTGCTTGCCTCCAGGGTGCCCTGGGTATCTTGGGCGTCAACAGTTCTGCTATGGAGAGCGTGACGTCCCCACGCCAAAAATCAGTGGACAGCCTGGGGTCTCAGGGTCGGGTTTCTTGTGGAAGGGTTCTTGTGGTCGGGTCTCCACTGTCGGCCCACCAAAAAGTGTTCTAAGAACCTTTCGTGATTTGCACGACATGTTGTCAGAACATTTCTGGCTGAGGTTGTCTTGTGTGATAGCACATAGGCTTGATGTTCTTGGAGCATTCTTTTTGTTATTGCAACAATTGTGGGTCCTGATGGAATGCCAGGAATGTCGGTCCCTGCTCAATCCGCGGGCGACCTGTGCACGGTACCGCGCTGGCGTCTCACGAGGCGTCGTCGATCCTCGACCTGGGCAAGAGGCGGTGCATTTTTTTTCTGCCCTCGGAGCCGACGAGCTCAACACTGTACCGCGCTGGAGAGGGGACTCAAGGGAGTGCAGACATGGTGTGCATAGGCGCCGTTCTCGTAGCTCCTTCGTGTGCGACCTACGGTCGATTAAGACGACACGCTTTTTCGGCGGCGTGCCCGTGTAGGGGGATAGGACCCCGACGTGCTCGCGTCGCAAAAGCGTCGAGAATCGAATCGGACGTGATGTTGTTGTTGAACGTTTTGGGGTTTGGGGAGCCCTTACCGCTCCCCGGGGCGGTCGATAAACGATTCAGAATAAGAAATTGGTCTCTTGGAAAGGGTCAGGACCTCCAGAGGCTCCGTATTGAAAATGCAGGACATCGCATGTCTGGGGAGGAGGCTCGATTATCAATTCGGCGGCGAGCTCGGGGGGGCAGTGGGAGGGGGCAGGCCGTCTCAAGAGTCGGGGCGGGGCTCCTCAGAAGCACCCCGACCATCTGAGAATGTAGTTCTGCGTCTTCGGGGGGGACCGAACGCTTGCTCAGATGGCCCGAGGCCCTCCGAGCTTTCTGAGAAGGCCCGCCCCTTCTCACTTCCCCCCTGGGCTCGCCGTCGAGATGTGCGACCCACCGTCGATCGTAGACGAAACGATGCTGCATGACCGTCAGCCTTAGGAGGGCCGCGCGTATTTCGTGGATCGGCGCTGGACCCCAGCGCCGATACGAGAGGTCTGCGCTGACCTCCGACGTTTGCCCGCGGATGGGCGAGTTCTCTTTACTCCTGGGCCGAACGCTGACGTAAGGACCACTTCGGCTCCAGGGGGGGGAGGGGCTCTGGCTCCAGGGCCGCTCCTCCGGTGTGGGCCCTGGGGTCCATCCGTCGTGGCCGGGGCTTGCGCACGAAGAGCTCTGGCATTCCTCGTGCAGCGTGGATCGACTGCGGTAGCACGGACCCGTGCGGAAGGAGTCCCGAAGAGGCCCGCGTGGCGGGCCTTAGGTGTGGACACGCTGCGTGCTGGCTCGGCGCGTGTTGGCCCACGCGTCGGCGAGCGTTTCGCGCCAGACCTGAGTTTGCAGCCTGCGTTGCTGAGCTCCGTGGTTGCGTGGTTGCGTGTCGCGTGTCGCGGCAGTTGGGTTGCTCATAGCAGCATTGATCGCTGCGGGCAGTGCGGACAGGTCCATAGGGAAACGCCGGCGCCCGCGGTGCTCTCCCCCCGTTGACCTTCGCCATGAGAAGGGGGGCATGATGAACTCGGAGGGGTATCGTGTCCTCTCGCGTGTCCTCTTGAATCATCTTTGGCCGTATCCCGTAGCCATTTTGGCTCAAGGCTGGCCGACCGAACGCGCCAGGCCGAAGGGCAGCCCGACATCTGCGCGCGTGCCGTGCCATGCTGCGCGTCAGGACCGAGCAAGTGCGCCGCCCTTCGCTGCGCTGCGCCGATGCCCTGCCGGACCTGTCGGACCGCATCATGGCCCTGGGCCTGCAGGACGAATACGACATGTTCCGGGAGCGCTACCTGGGCTGGAGGAGGGGCAAGGCCCAGGGCGCCAAGGGGGAGCCCGTCTCGCTGCAGAGTGCCGCGTTGCCCGCGGCGGGGCCGCAAGACTTTGGCTACTGGTACCCGAATCTGGAGACGTGGCAGTGGCGCCGAACCATCTCGTTCTGGATCGGGCTGACCTTCTTCGAGGGCGCAGTGTTCTACACCATGAGCTCCTTCCTGGGCATGGTCTCGGATCTGGGAGACAACGCCGCACCTCTGACCACGGGAGGTCTTGTGTGGGGGAAGCTCCACTTCATTATCTGTACCTACCTGATGGTCCTCGGGGCGATGAACGTGCAGGCAGAGGATGTCTCCGAAGCGGGCAAGGCTATCGGTGACATCGAGAGCAACACCGGCCACGGCCCTCAAGCGGGTGTCCCCAATCCGCGCGAGTTCGGACAGACCGCTGAACAGGAGAACGATGGCAGCACCTGCAGCGGCACCACGGCGTCACCGAAGGGCGCAGCAGCGGGCGGGCTCGAGGCTTCGAGCAGATTCGTGCTCAATCCGTTTGCGTACAGGACGGCCATCGCCAGGCTGCGCTCCTCCGGTGCCGGGCCGTGGCCGTACGTGGCCGCGCTGGTCTACTTCACCGGGTGCCTCTCGTTCGGCCTCGGCCTGCTGGCGGAGCTCACCTGCCCGGACGACGTGGCGGCTCCGCTGCTGGACGCGTGCTTCCTGCTCGGCTCTTTCCAGTTCGTTATGGGTGGGCTGGCGGAGTGCATCGAGAATGAGGTCTTCACCTCGCTGAGCATCACCACGGCGTGGACGGGCTCGCTGCTGAACTTCCTGGCTGGCCTGTTGCTCCTCTTGGCCTCAGTCTTGGCATTCATCCCCGCGGTGCCGAGCTTCTGGGCGAGCCTAGGGTTCGGAGTTGGCTCTGCGCTCTTCGTGCTCGGTGGGTCGATCCAGCTCGTTCTTTGGCGGGACGAGCAGTTCGGCCTCACCTACATGGGTGTGATCAACAAGCTGGGCGGGAGCAGCGGGCGGCCCCTCGTGTCCAGCGGGGCAGACGGCGCAGTGAGCGAGGAGGTGAGCTTCTCCTGCACGGGGCTGTTCTTCATCCACCTCTTCAGCGTGGCCGCGGCCATCAGCTGTTACGACTTCAACATGCGCCTGGTCGACCTGATGCAGCATCCGTCGATGGAGTACTTTCACAGGGCCGTTTGCGATTTGACCCCTGCGGTCATCTTGCACATGGAGATTGCGCTGCGGTCGGCTGTTGTGAGGACGCCGCCTGGCGCGCCCTACCGGCAGTTGTTCGTCCTGATGAGGATTGTGGCAACCTTTCTAGTTGTGAATTCAGGGGTCAGCTTCATACAGCTGGTGTTGAATCCCGGTGCTACCGAAGCGTAGGCACACAGCCGAGCACGCGCAGGAATGTGTGTATCACAGTTTCGTGCATACCTGAGGTGGTCGTGGACAGGTGTTTCAGTGTAGTTCCCCAGAGACCCCATTTCCGAATGCACGCGCCGCGTCTTACAGCTATCGCGGCATGCGTTCCAGAAGAGGGCAGGGCGACGAGTCACGCGCACACGCTCTGGCAAAACGAAAAAACAACATGTTTGGCCGTATCGTAAAGGCACGACGCTGGAGATCTGGGTATTGTCAAGAGTCTAGACAGGAGGGGCTCGGGGCTTCGGGCGGTTCCGTAGGTAGTATGTAGTGGAACCTGTTTGTGACATAGATTCGCCGTGGCCAAGACAGCCCCTTCTGCTTCCTAATATACGATCCGTCTGGAGGCACGATGACTGCTTCCCTCGTCTTCTTCTTCTTAGTGTGTTTCTCTCTCTCTCTCTCTCTCTGACTCCTCCTTCTTTCTGTCCCCCCCGCTCTCTCTTCCCGTCTCTGCCCGCCCCGCTGCTGCCTCCCCATCTCCGCCCCCGCCATCCCAATCTCTCCTCCCCCGCCGCGACTCCCTCCGTTCACGCTTCACGTTCATCTGCGTATCGTCTCAGTATAGGCTCGAAGAGAATCGAAGACGGACAAACTGCATTAACGTGCCATTTCTAAGGTCCGCGCAGGTGCTGATACCCCCTGCCCGGGCGGCGCTTGCCCCTCGCGCACCCCGCGCGCCGGGAAGAGGGTCCGTGCTGGTCCAAGAAGTCTGCGCCAGCTTCCGAAAGGGGATGTTTGTGCAGCGTCTGTCCTTCTTCCTGGAAAACCCAACGCTGGGGGTCTTGGTCTCTCCTCGCGCTGCAGCTTCGGGGGGCCTCGTCTTCCCTGTGAGCGGCCGCCCTTTCCTGGGGCACCACGCGCGTGCCAAACGGAGTCGATTCAGCTGCGGCGTGGTCTCTCGGCACAGACTCGTGGCGGATTCGAGGCGGATGCGACAGGCTCGACGCGGCTTCGGCGCGGAGCCGGCGCTGGTACATCGGCGCGATGGGACAGACAAGGTCCCCCAACCATGCAACATTGAGGAAACCAGAAGTCAGGAGGGGGAAGAAGCACACAGGAACAAGCAATCGTCGATTCCCAGGAAACTGGAAATCGGGGCGGAGACGAGAACCCCGGAAATACTGGAACAAAAACAAGGGATCCTGGGATTTGTGTGTATTTATCTGTGTGCCCCTGGCCCCCTTCACAAAAGGTGCCTGTACCGCTCCTTCCCTGACCTCTCCAGGAGCGTATTCCGACCAGGTTTGCCAGGAGGATGCGGAGGAGGAGGAGAAGGAAGCGGAGGAGGAGGAGGAGGAGGAGGAGAGGGGTTGTGGTCCGAGGTTTCCTTTCTTCGGGACAGCCCGTGCGCCACGACCCCAGCCGCGAGCCCGTGTTCACCGGGCGGCGGCGCTTCTTTCTTCTTGCCAACAGTCGTTTCTGACTTGATACGCATAGGCCCACGGAGGGGCGAAGCAGGGTGCGATTGAGCTCGCCCGCCTGGCACCGCAGGGAGCGGCGCGGACGCCAGGAGGCCTGCTGCTCCCTCAAGTGCCACGTTGCGGGGCATCGGCTGCAGCGACACCACGGCAGTCAGCCGCCAGCCGACCAGAGCCCTCCCCCTGGGATGGATGGGGGCCTACAGGTTATGTGCGATCTGTGCGGAGGCACAAAGGACCAGTCGTGGTGGAATTTCTGCAAGCACTGCAAGGGGCCACGTGTGCCAGTGGAGAAAGCTACTGCTCGCACTCTTCGTCCTGTTCGGGGGGACCGCTCGCTGGCTGGGCTGCTCAAGCCCCCTTGGAGGCAGCCAGGGGCAGGCGGCCAACAGGCCGCTGCAGCGGGGTCGGCGGCCGAGAGGGTGGCCAGCGGCGGCAGCAGTGGGAGAGGAGGCGCACTGCGAGTCAGTTTCGACCTGGCCACAGAGCCCGTCAGGCAGGAGACCGAGGCCGAGGAGGAGCACCTGGCCAAGCCGGTCGAGCTCCTCACCCTCGCTGGGGACACCGTGGCGGCCGACAATTGCAGGGACAAGCGGGAAGAGAACCGCCTCGCCAAGCAGGACAGCGACATCTGGGTCGAGCTGGCCAAGGAGCAGGGTGTTCAAGCAGAGGAGCGGCTCCGCCAGACCTTCGACATGTGCGAGCGGGTGGAACAGCTCCTGGTCGACGCGCAGGCCGAGGTCGAGCGGGACACCAAGACCCTGGATGAAGCCAGGGCCAAGTACCAGTCGGCGGCCCACAGCTTGCACACCATCGTCACCGACCCTGGGCATGAGGCACGAGGGCACCCCAAGCTGGACCGGTCCAAGATCTTGGATGGGGCCGAACTCGTGCTGGCCAACGGGGGGTTCTTCGGCCTGGAGCAGCTCTGTGACGTGGCGGGGGACGAGGACCGCAGGGAGGCGGCACGCCGACACAGGTTCTGTTCAAGCAGGCTGTATACTTGCCGTCCGGCGACCTCCGTACCAAGGCCTCGGCGATCAAGCAGGAGAAGGAGGCCCAGGCCAAGTGGCTTGCAGCGAAGAGGGCCCGCACGGCGGCCTCCGAGACCGCGGCGGCCGAGGCCAATGGCGCTGCAGCAGAAAGCGAAGCCACAGAGCACAAGGCCAAACCCACGCCTGTGGCCGCCAGCGCCACCATCCAGACGACGAAGGCCAAGGTCGACGCCAAGAAGGGTGCTGCGAACGACGGTGAGGCGCTACCGTCGCGGGGGTAGCAGCACAAAGCACAACTTGAGCTCACGTGATCGATATCCAGTTTTGCGGGCTGCTCCGTCGAGTGCCTGGTGGATGAGGTCACCCAGTTTTGAATATGGCTGGGCAGCTGGTGGATGGGATGGTGCATTTGAAGACCATGGGCCACGGTGCAGCCAGGCATCACACAGCACTACAGAGCGTGTCCCTGAGCAGGGTGCTGACCAAGTCATGGGGGGCTACAACTATGAGCCGGGCAGGGGCTACGGCACGGCCGACATCTACAACGGGGAGGTCGAGCTGCTCAGGGGATGGATCACCAACCCTGAGCCTGAAGGCGAGCCGCCGCCGACGGAGTCACCAGGCCGACGGCGAGGAGGCGGCGGGGCGAGGACCAGCCGAGCTCGGCGAGGGCAGGTGGAAGCCCAGGCGCGGCGCCGCTCTCACCTACCAGACGGTCGCGAAGGCGCTGCAGACGTCCGAGCCGAGGGTGGTCCACCTCGGCAGCCACCTGCGCCATGGGCCCCGCAGGCGCTTCCCGCCAGTAGGCGGCCGGGCGCGGCCGAGCCTGGGGCGCCCAGCCCGCGTGCCCGTCATGTCCATGGAGTTCAACGTGCGGGCCCGCAGGCCTGTTCCCGTCGGGGCGCTACAGTCGCGGTCATCAAGGGCAGTCGCCTGAATGGGCTCTGGTTTGACGTAGCAGGTTTGTTGCGCCCTGTCAAGGGAATGGCCTCAGCTGTAAGCAGTAGGCAGCATGTCTTAGAGTCGGAGTTTGATGAGCTCGCCCGGTGTAAGCCCTCGAGGGGAGCGGCCCGTTTGCCTGTCCATGGTTTTGTTTTGAACCTCAGGGGCCTCGGCTGGAGTTTCGGCATTTCTAGGTCCCTCTGGTCCGAAACTGGTGTGTCTATAGATCGGTTCGCGCTGGCGCCCATGCAGGTTGGGTGGCTTGCCCAGCGGGCCTTGCGCCTCCGCTCGGACAATGTGACCCCCCAGGCCCGGCCAGGGTCCCAGGGCTGGTCCAGGGCTGCCTGCCAGGTGGAAGCCTCTCCCGCGTTTCCTGGATGGGGCCGAAGGAGGCCGCGGGTCCCTCGGCCGCCAGGGAACCACACAGGCAATACATTTTAAGGAGCAGTGTTTCACGATGCAACTGGCAGCAAGAGAGTCTGCACAGGCACGGCTATGCTAGCTCGCCTTGCAGCAAGCGAGGTGGAGCGGCCTCAGGTACCCAGTTGCACAGGCGCTTCAGATGTTGCTATGTGGACTGTGAAGCCACTATCTGGGCTGCTAGGTCTCCCACGTCTGCGGGCAGTGCTGCGAGGAGATGTGCCCATCTTTGGACTCGGACCTCCCATCTCCATGATGGGGAGCAGCCGCCAGTTGTGAAGGTCCGAGCGCATTCGTCGTGGGTCGATGTTGGGCGGGTGCTCCCGACCCCGTTCCACAAGAGAGGCACGGGCGAGGCTGATGCCCTAGCGAGGCACTGTGTGCAGTGCCATCCATCTATGGCCCAGGCTGCGCTTGCCCTGTTTGTTCGCATCGGTTGGGAGCCAAGCTGGCCATTGGGCTGGCGAGCATGAGGCCTGGAGGGCCGACGGAGGGCAGCGTGATAGTATCGAGCATGTGGGCCCCGAAGGGGTCTGTCGGGGCTGTGCCTCTCCGCAGCAGCTGGCCGTGCCGAGAGCTTCCGGGGGCCAGCTGTTCGTCCCCTCGGACCCGCGGCATCCTGAATTGGTCGCCCTCATCAATTTGCTTGGTCGCCCGCTCCGCAGGGCCACTGTGTTTGGCCATGACGGTGAGCGGGTGTCTCTAGAGGGCGCCGTCCGTGTGAATACTAAGTGCGGGGGTTACAGCTGGGGGGCGGTGAAGGCCCTACACCGCCTCTGCACCCCGCCCACGGTGGGCCTGAAGAGGCAGTTGAACCGTGTTGAGAAAAGGCGTTTTTTTCATCGAAGGCTCCTCAGTATCACGGGTGGACAATCGGCCCAACGAGGCCTGCCACCCCAGTGGATGTGGCCATCCTGGTCATCACGTCTTCGGCCTATCTCTCCCTGGGCGGTGGGAGGCGGGGGACGTGGTCGCCGTCGTCGTGGCGGGAGCGGTGGAGTGGAGCTAACTGTGCTGCTCGGTTCGACCTCTCGTCCGAATTGCTGGTGGAGGAGGCGGACCGTCTCGGCAGGGAGGATGAGGGCCTAGGAGGCGAGGCGGGCGGCCAGGCAGGCACGCCGCTGACGCCCCTCGGCTAAGCCTCCCCCCCCCTTTCTTTCTTACCCCCCGCTGGTGGCGGAAGTGGCTGGCGCCCCCGTGAGCACCACCCAGAGGGACACTGGTGGGCTGAGGTGTGTCACTGACCTCCTCCGCCATGGGAAATAGAAATAAAGGAGGAGGAGGAGGAGGAGGAGGAGGAAAAGGAGAAGGAGGAGGAGGAGGAGGAGGAGGAGGAGGCGGGAGGAAGAGGAGGAGGCGGAGGCGGAGGCGGAGGCGGAGGCGGGGGCGGAGGCAGCGGAGGAGGCGGCGGAGGAGGAGGAGGAGGAGGCTCCAACCGTGGCGACCAGGGCCTCCCGGGAGGCCCGAAGAGAGGCAAACGGGGAGAGGGGAGCGGCGTGGGTACCTCTTCCCCCTCTGAGTTCTTACTCCGAGTTTCTGAACAAGCGTCGGGGGGGCGCCACCCCCGCCGACAGCCCTGCACCGGCCCCCGTCGCGGGCAGCCACCGCGCGCCGAAGGTGCTCCGACCCCCGTCGCGGCGTGACGACGAGGCGAAGTTGACCCCCGTCGGGGGGGTACCCCCCCACGACCCCCAGGATTATTAAGAAACCCAGGGTAGGGTTAGGTTTTTTCCTTGATTTCCGATGATCAGCAGGTCTTTCTGGTGAAGGGTCATCCGGCTTTCGTGTCATGCCTCGGGTCTCCCACGCCAGCTCGGGGGCATTCGGACACGCCCGGAATGCACTCGGCGTGGCTCAGCAACTGAACGTTCCCCGAGCTTGGAATACCGCCAGGAAACTACAAGAGGACGGCCGAAATCTTAGGACCAAGATCCAGCGGAGGGTTCCTCTGCCTCCTCTGGAGCATCTCTCTCTCTCTCTCTTTTTGTTTTCTCTCTCTCTCTTTCTCTCTCTCTCTCTCTCTCTCTCTCTCTCTCTTTCTTCAGCACCAACGAAAATTGGGCACGGAAAGACTGGGTACAATGCCCAACCGCAGTTCCGGTTCATTCTGAACAGGACGCGCTGTCCGCGCCGCCGCGGATGTGTCCGTTGGAGACAGAGGGCTGCCTGCCCGACAGCGGCCGCTGTTGGTTTGGGGCAACATTTGTTGCTGGGCATTGCGCCCATTCTTTCCGTTGCCAATTTCGGGCGTCCAAAACCAAAGCCACGAGGTGAGGGAGAGAGGCAAGGGAGGCGGTCCCCGATGAAGCAGCTGCACATGGGAAGAAGGCGGACGAGGGGGAACGGGAGATCCGCCTGCTCCCCCCAGAGCGAGTTTTTCACCAATCTTTTCCGTACCCCTTTTCGGTCGTCCAAATCCCTCCTTGTCTACAATTACTCAATGTGAATACTACTCTCCCTCTTCCCCTGATGACGGCTTGAAAGTATTAGCCCCCGTTTTTTACACACAGGATTCCCCGGAGTTTGGTTATCGCTTGCATTTTTTTTCAAAATGCTGCTCTCGCTGGGGCGCCGGCCTCATTTTCGGGCCCCGCTCGTTCCGAATCGTGCTCCCGCTGCAGCGCTGGCCTCATTTCCGTGCTTCCGCTCGTTCGAATCGTGCTCCCGCTGCAGCGCTGGCGTCATTTCCGTGCCATGCCACGGCATGCAATGCAATGCTAGGTTGATGCTACGCTTTGCGGTGCTCTTCTACGCCATGCCATGCCGTGCTCTACAATGCATCGCGTACCCTTTCGGGATCATTGCCCTGCTCGACATCCGACTGTGCGAGTTGAGAGGGGATCTGCGCCATGGTAAGGGATGGGAGGGAGGGGTAGGATGTCAGATATGATGCGAGCGCACCTAGTTTGCCGCCCACTCCTCCCCCCGCTGCCTCTCTTCGGGCGGGGACAGGACGAGGCTACATCCGTCCAGAGCGTTCCAGGAACGCTCTCGGAGCGCTCCGTAGCGCTCTGAGAAGGCCGCGGCGCCCGAGACATCCTCCTCCTCCTGCTCCTCCTCTTCCTCATCCTCCTCCTCGAGATTCTTGATTTATCCTTACCCGATTTTAGCCTCGTCCTGGTTGCGACTTGCTCTGTCTCCGCCCCCCCCCCCCCCGCTCCCCCCCGGCTGCCTCTTCCCGTCGCTGCCCCGTCGCCCATCCATGTAAATGTTGTTTTCTGGGTGTTTTGTTTGCACGCACGCGTTTTGTCAAGCTGCCTGCCTGCCTGCCTGCCTGTCTGTGTGTCTGCCTGCCTGCCGGTCTGCCTGTCTTTTTGTCAGCACCCTTGCCTGTCAGCTTGACTGTCTGTCTGTTTGCTTGCGCGCCTGCTGGCCTGCCTGCCTGTCTGGTTGTCTGCATGTCTGTCTGTATGCCTGTTTGCCAGTCTGTCTGCCTGCCAGCCTGCCTGTCTGTTTGTGTACCTGTCAGTCTTCCTGTCTGTCTGCATGTTTGTCTCTTTTTTGTGTTCTCTCTCTCTCTCACTTTCACTCTCTGCCTGCCCTCCTTGCTTGCCAGGACCGGGCGCGTACCGGCTGGCCTCGAAGCCTCATGGCCCACAGTGGTCCATGCGCCCAGCTACCGTACCTGTGCGTCTTCAACAGGGGCACAGCCGCTGCTCCGAGGCCGAGTTCACGCAGCCGTCGGCAGAGCTGGCTGAGCCGCCCTAGGCGCAAGGCCATGTAGCAGTTCTGCCCTGTATCATCCTCTCCCCGGATGTCCAGCGCTTCGATCCGGTGCGCGGGCCAGACTTCTCGAAACCTTTCCCTGGGCCAGTTTTTCATCGCGACATCTTTGTTTGACGGTCCAGACTTACGTCGGGCCTGTCCCCCTACAGGGGGATTTTCGACGAAAAATAAAACATACCCCAAAGATACCCCACAAAGGTAAACAAATATTCAACAAATAGTCCCTGGACTATTTTTGTATTATGTTTTGAATATTTGTGTTTTTGTTTTTCGGCGAAAATCCCCCTGTAGGGGGACAGGCCCGACATAAGCCCAGAGTGTCGAAACCAGCCTCTCCAGAGGCCGGCCGTGGCGACAGACCCGCCGCCTCGACTTCGAGGCGCCCCGTGTTGGGACTCGGGGCGTGGACTCTGGCGGAGCACGGACCGCGGAGTTGGCCCCGAAACGTTCTCTGCCTCGGCCCGACCTGGCCTGCCTTGCTGGCCTCGCGCAGAGGTGGGTGTACGGGGTAGGGGGGAAAGGCTTTCCAGAATCTCCCCTGCTTGGAAGGTGCTGGCCTTGTCTATAGATTTATAGCCAGCGCCTCCTAAGAAGCAGCCCCCCTCCAAGAGGCCTTCCCCTCCTCCCCCTACCCAGAGTCTTATCGATCGGGGGTTGGTGGAACCCACTGTGGGGGGTTCTACCAATCCCCGATCTTACGTGAAACCTGCAACTCCCAGATCCCTTCTTGACGGCTCCCCGGGTTCGAGGGCCCGCGGAGGCCGAAAGCAGCCAAGAGTTCTCCAGAAGTAGTAATTTTCGCCACAGCGAGGCGGTTGCTTGGTTTCCGGGCCGCACCTCGGGACTCAGGTGGCTGTTTGGCGTGATCTGGGCGTCCCGGGAACGCGCTCAGCGAGGCGCAGTTGTTGGAAGGCATCGCGAGGCTGGAAAAAGCGTGCTGGAACTTCTCAGAATTATCAGGAGCCGTGCGCGCGCGCACATACGTTCACATTGGCTGCTGCTGCTGCGAGCGGCGGTACTCTCCAGCAGCACCCTTCCAGAGTTCAGGCTTCCACTCTAGTATTGCAGCCCGAAGGCCCTAATCTTCGAACCTCGGTCCCTCAAACCTCGATCTCTCGAGCCTCGACCCCTCGAACCTTTATCCTCGAACTTCGGCACTCGATCCTCGATCCCTCCTTCTCCAGGGAGCCGTCGCAGTGAGACGGCCGCCGGCGGGCCAACCTCTGCCCGCCTGGAGCAGGGCTGGCTTGCGGAAAACCGCGGCGAGCGGCCCTAAGATCACTGTCGGAGGCTTAGAGAGGTCGGCACCAACACCAATTTCGCTGATGTGCCTCCACCAAGGGGAGGTGATCGATCCCGATCTCGGCCATGCTGGTAATGTTCCGGCTTCCTATAGAATCCTCGAGCCCGAAAGAGGATACCGGGCTTCCTGGGTGGCCGAGAGACCCCCACCCACACCGAGATCTAGGATCATCCTCCGCCGGTGGACGCACCCCCCCCTGCTTTGCTGTTGGTGCCCTGGTCCAGGCCTCCGACACCTGAGGTACCGTTTTTTTGTGGTGCCCTGCGGGCGGTACCTGCGAGAAGCCTTGCCTTCAAGGGGCCGGGCGACCAGCCCGCGGACGTGGCGGAGGCAAGCGGGGGAGGGGCCGGCCCAAGGGGGCACCACACGTGCCTGCCGGGGAGTGTCGTCGAAGCCGTGGGGCGACCGGAACCGTTGGACATGCTCAGGCCCCCTCGAGTCACGACAAGATCACGTCGGGTAGTTAGTTCTTCGCTATCTTCGGCTCTGGGGACGCTAACCGGGCCTCGAGGCCGTCAAACAGCGACTCGGGATGAGAAGCCGGCCCCGGGGGAGTGGGTCGAGACCTGTGGGGGCCGACGTCACGAACAAATCATGTCGTCGGGGGTCTGGGTACCTAGTCCCCCGCAGTTGAGGGGGCGCGGGTGGGTCGCTGCGCGGGTGGGCCTCGCCCCAAACGCGCCGCGATCCACCCCCGCCGCGACCCACCCGCGACCCACCCGCGCAGACGACGACAAGAACAGGAACAATGACAGTAACGATCATGTCGCCCTCATGCGCCACGCTTCCATAGGCCACATGTACTCATCACGATGCTACTCCCTTAGTGGGGGAGCTATATGAAAAAAGGGGGCCAGCACCCAAATCTCCACACACAAGTCTCCCGCCTAAGGAGGTCGAGCCAACACCTCTCCCAAGGCACTTTACGACCTTGAGCTAGGCAGCATCGAGCGGGAGCGCTGTTTTTGTTGGGAGGGCCAGCTGCGAGGGAGAGCGCCAGTCCTGAGCGAGCGGGAGCGCTGTTGTTGAGTGGCTGGTTTGCTGCACCACCGCGTGAGCACCACTCCGCGATGAAAGCCAAGGAAGTATCCAGCGGGATCGCTGGTTCGGTTGGGGGGCCGGCTTTCGGCGGCGAGCAAGCAACGATTATCGAGCGACAGCGCTGTTTTTTCAAGGGCAAGTGTTTGGCGGCGAGCAGGAGCGTCAATTCTGAGTAAAACATTGAGGATGTACTGAGAGGGAGTGCAATGTTGTAGGGGGGGCCGTTGGCGGCGCCGAGGCTTGAGCGCCAGTCTCGAGTAAAAAGCATGGGGGTTCGAGCGGACGCGCTGGTTCTGTTTGAGGGCCAGTTTTCGGCGGCGAGCACGGGCACTGGTCCTGAGTAACATGTGGCGAAGTATCGAGCGAGTTTGTTGTTGCTGGTGGGGGGTCGGTCTGGGCTCCACCCCGAAACGCTCGAGCGTGATCGTCGTTTCCGGCCAGCGCCGAGGCGAGAGCGCGAAAGCGGAGGTACGGGGTCCAACTGGTACTGGTACTGGTACTGGTGGAAGGGGATGTAGGCCGGGGGGCCTCCCTTCGCCTCTCCAGCAACACCCAGGTCCCGGCCCCCAACCCCAGAGGGTGAAGTGCGCCGCGACAAGGCGGGGGCGGGGACCCCGCACCGGGAGAGGCACGAGGGGGAGCCCGATCCCCTGCCCCACCGCGGCGGACCCCACCCCCCAAGAACCCCAGAGCAGTAGAGGTGAGGGGGGAGAGAAGACCGGGGGGGACAGAGGCGGAGAGGTCCAATTTTACACCAGAGAAAACCCAATCAGTAGGAGGCCCGACAAATACGCAACAGCCAATCCGTTCTAAATCCGCTAGGATCCCTTAAGTGCAAGCATTGATTGGGGAATCAAGAACGAGAGCCCCATACAGGGGATATCGACCATCAACCTTGTACCATGATGGCGCAACAACGGGATATCCAACCTTGCGGCGCCCGTCCTGGAAGAACATGCCGATGATAGAGGCACACGTGGGAAATCGAATATTGGCACGCTTAAGTCCGATGAGCACGGCGACCGGGGCGCACAGCACGCCCTGTGCACACACGCGCCCACACACACAACAGATACGCACAACACGTCCTGCGCCCTCGCACAACGACCCCGTACGCGCACCCCTCCGCGTGCGAATATCGTGACATGTAGTGCCCACAACCTCGGCCTCTCGTTCCAACTGGCTCGCCCGTCAGCCAGGACATGGGGTTCAAGGCCCCTCGTCGCCAGGGGTTCAAGGCCCCCCTCCCCTAGGAGACGGTACAAGGCCGCCTACCGGCGCAAATGGGAGACCCGCGGACGGGCGACGACGACCCAGTTGACAGGCGAACCCAGCGGACGGACGGCGGCACACGTGCACCCTTGCGGACGCGAAGCACCCTCGGAAGGCCCTCTTCTCCCCCGCCTCCCCTCCCGGCCCTCCCCCCACCCCCCAACCTCGGACAGCCCAAGACACGGAAAGGGTCGAGAGCCCCAGCTGGGTGCTCGTGGCACCCGCGCAACAACAAGGAGAGACACCGTAGGATCCGCGGGGCCCGAAGCCAAGCCCGTAGACCGGGTACGCCGGCTCCCGGTGATCAGGCGGCAGCCGGCCTCACGCTACCGGACGCACGGGGGTGGACTCCTATAGGAATCCAGAACCGCCCCCGCACGTGCATGGCAGCGAGCTGTGCCCTCCCGCCCCGCGCTGGTAGCGAGCCGACCCAAAGCGGTGTGAAAAAAAAACGAATGTCGCAGAAAGGACTCCCTAAGCCGGGGAGGCAGGTCCACACCGCAAACACGCGCAAGGCCACACGGGGCGACGAGAGGGGTCGCCCGGTCCGAGGGGAACCCAGACGCCCCCCCGCCGTGGGGTTGGCCGCCCCCGGGGCGCCGACCCAAAACCACGCGTTCTCTGCCGCCAGCCCCCTCGAGCGCCCCAGGGACGTTGCCCGCGGCCCAGCCGGGTGGCTTGGGCACATTTGGGCCTATGGTGGCGCCAAACCAGCACAACGCTGCACCCCAGGCGCGGGAGGATTGCTCCCGTCCGACTCGGCGGTCTATGGACGTGCCGGTGTGGTTGGCGGCCACACCCGGCACCGCGGCCCCGGGAGCAGGGCGTAGGCCGGTGAGAACTACGGGCGCGCCCCCCGACACCCTAGCAAAGGCTGGACGTGGCATTTGTTCCGAGGATCCAAGACGCTGCATGGAGCAACCCAGACGCGAGACCTGAGACCCTGCACGCACCAACCCAGCACTCATGCCACGCCGCGTAAACACGCAAGCACATAAGTACACGCCAGGCACATGCAACACACAAGCGCTCGCACGCGCGCGCAAAAACTATCAACCATTATGTTGCCAATATTAACCCTTATGTTGCCAATATTCGTAGTTCCGCCGTGCCTACGGGGTCCAACAGGAATCATCGGTTAACAACTCGGATTCAGCGACGTTTTCAACCGGAACCGTTGTCGGGTTCGCCGCGAGCGTTATCCTCTTGAGACAGAAGCCGCCTGCCCAGCGAAGGCCGTTGTCGGTTTCGGGCAACACGTGTTTCTGGGCATCGTATTGATTTCTTCCTTACTCCAGATTTCGTAATAGAGGGAGGGGGGTCTCATTTCGGGGGGGGGTCTCTTCCAGGCTATCTTGGAGTGCCT